GCCCGGGCTGGATTTGAACCCGCCACCTTAGGTGTATGTGGCTGGTGCCTAGCCACTTGAGCCACAGGTGCTGAGCCAAGTTGTCATCTTCTTTAACAACACCTTTTTTTATTTTTTTGAGACAGACTCACTCTTTTGTCTAGGCTAAAGTGCCATGGTGTCAGCCTAGCTCACTGTACCCTTAAACTCCTGGGCTCAAGTGATCCTTCTTCCTCAGCCTCCTGAGTTTCTGGGACTGCAGGTGCCCACTGGCCCACTGGCTGGTTTTTCTCTTTTTCATAGAGACAGGGTGGTCTCCAACTCTTGAGCTTAAGCAGTCCACCCGCCTCAACCTCTCAGAGTGCTAGGATTACAGATGGGAGCCACTGCACTCAGTCTACAATACCTTCTTTGGAATGCCACTTGAAGGACCTTCCTGAGGCTGTTTTATGGTTAATTTTTTGTTTTTATAAGTAAAAAGTGTATTCCAAAATAACAATGAAAAGTGTTGCATAATAAATATATAGACTGGTACCATAGTTGTCATTACATTATCAAGTACTTGTATGCTATACGTAATTACATGTGCTCTACCTTTATACAGCTGGCAGTGCAGGTTTTTTTTTTTTGCAGCTTTGGGCCAGGGCTAGTTGGGGCTGGTGCCCTACTCCTTTGAGCCACAGGCGCCACCCAGTGCAGGTTTTTTTATATACCAGCATCACCACAAACAGGCAAGTAATACTGTGACATCACCATAGCTACGATGTCACTAGGCAATAGGAATTTTTGCTCCATTATAATCTTACAGGCTACCATTGTATATCTCATTGTATATGAAATCTGTTGTTGACCAAAATGTTGTTATATGGCACATTACTGTATTTACATAAGATTTATATAATAGTAATGGATATAATTAGGTATTAAAATAATTGAGTGGCACCTGTGGCAAAAGGAGTAGGGTACTGGCCCCATACACGGACAGGAGATGGTGGTTTCAAACCTGGCCCCAGCCAAAAACTGCAACAACAACAAAAATAATAATAATAACTTAAAGATGATTTAGGCTCGGCGCCTATGGCTCAACCGGCTAAGGCGCCAGCCACGTACACCTAAGGTGGCGGGTTCGAATCCCCAGCCCGGACCCGCCAAACAACAATGACGGCTGCAACCAAAAAATAGCCGGGCGTTGTGGCGGGCGCCTGTGGTCCCAGCTACTTGGGAGGCGGAGGCAGGAGACTCGCTTGAGCCCAGGAGTTGGAGGTTGCTGTGAGCTGTAATGCCACGGCACTCTGCCCAGGGGGACAGCTTGAGGCTCTGTCTCAAAAAAAAAAAAGATGATTTAAAGTATACAGAAGAATAGAACACTATATCTTTTTTTTTTTTTTTTTTTGAGACAGAGCCTCAAGCTATCCCCCTGGGTAGAGTGCTATGGCCTCACAGCTCACAGCAACCTCCAACTCCTGGGCTCAAGTGAGGCTCCTGCCTCAGCCTCCCAAGCAGCTGGTCCCACAGGCACCTGCCACAACGCCTGGCTATTTTTTGGTTGCAGCTGTCGTTGTGGCAAGCCCGGGCTGGATTCGAACCCGCCACCTTAGGTTTATGTGGCTGGGGCCTTAGCCACTTGAGCCACAGGTGCCGAGCCACTATATCATTTTATATGAGGGACTTGAATATCACATTGGATAATGAAGGATGACTATAATTTTCTGATCCTAGGAGGGATATCATTAGGAGCTGGCCAGACTCAGGGGAGGACAGTAGCTATCTTATTTCTAATTCTCAGAAGCAGCACCTCCCCTGTGTTTGTGCCTTTGACCTAGCCAGTGTACATGCCACTTTCAGAATAATCATTCTACTTTTTCCTCTCTTCCCTCTCATATCTCTTGGACAGCTCAAAAAGTTTCCAGGAAGACAGGACCTCGGTGTTCTACAGCTATTAACACAGGTAATTTGTGCTTAGGAACTGAGGCTGAGAAGGGATTTGGGTTATATGTAAAGAGAGAATGATGGAGAGAATGAGGAGGAGGGACACTGGCCCACATAATTCCTATCTCAATTCCCCTTTTCTTTAGTGGTGAAAAACCAGAAGCCAGTCCCTGCTGTTGCTGTCCAGAAGCCTAGCGGTAGGTGACAAACATAACTATTGGGTGAGAGGCTGGAATAGGGAAGAGGAAGTGGTGAGTACCCAGAAAAATCCATTTGATTTCTTCCCTGTCTGGAATGGAAGGAGACAGACGTAGCATAAGGTATGAATGCCTATGGGCTAGAAGGGGAAGGGATAGAGAGCCAAGACTTCACTGACCTTTGTCCTTTCTGTACCCATCTTAGCATCAGCTGTTCCTCCCATGGTAGGAGGGAAGAAACCCAGTAAACGTCCAGCCTGGGACTTAAAGGGTCAGTTATGTGACCTAAATGCAGAGCTGAAATGTTGTCGTGAAAGGTCTCAAACATTGGACCAGGAGAACCAGCAGCTGCGGGACCAGCTCAGAGATGCCCAACAACAGGCCAATGCCCTGGGGACAGAGCGTAGGACACTGGAAGGGGAATTGGCCAGGGTACAGGCTCAGGCTGAGCAAGGTCAACAAGAGCTAAAAAACCTGAGTGCCCGTGTTCTGGAGCTGGAAGAGCGGCTGGGCATGCAGGAGGGCTTGGTTCAAGAGCTTCAGAAAGAACAGCTGGAATTACAAGAGGAGCGGAGGCAACTGACCTCCCGACTGGAGCAGCAGGAGGTAAGGGCTAGATTCTCAACCAAATGCCCAGCCCTCCTTTTCTAGCAGAGGTTGTACCTCCCCTCCTTTCCAGGTATCCCTGAAGATTCTTTGGACTCGGCTCAGCGCCTGTGGCTCAAGCGGCTAAGGCGCCAGCCACATACACCTAAGGTGGCAGGTTCAAATCCAGCCCAGGCCCACCAAACAACAATGACGGCTGCAACCAAAAAATAGCCAGGCGTTGTTTCGGGCGCCTGTGGTCCCAGCTACTTGGGAGGCTGAGGCAGGAGACTCGCTTGAGCCCAGGAGTTGGAGATTGCTGTGAGCTGTGAGGCCACAGCACTCTGCCCAGGGGGACAGCTTGAGGCTCTGTCTCAGAAAAAAAAAAGATTCTTTGGGCTAATAACCTCTGACTACCTCTCTCCACTAGTATGGCTCTGTCTTCTCTACCCATCACTAGCCTAGCTCATTCCTGACTTATCTTACTTTCTGCCCTACTTTTCCCTACTCTTTACTCAATTAGCATAGTAAATTTTTCTCTCTTTACATATAGCCCAAATCCCTTCTCAGCCTCAGTTCCTAAGCACATTACCACCTGAATCTGTGTCTTCCCCTAGTCTTCCATTCCCTTCTCTTTCTTCAGGTCCCCGTCCTGATCACAAATCCCCATGATACTCTCTCTCCCTTCTCCTATACTCATTTAACTCTTTCTTGGTGAGCAACATCTAGATCAAATTATTTGTAGTCTCTCTTTTTTTTTTTTTTGTCTGGGGCCGGGTTTGAATCCACCACCTCCGGTATATGGGGCCGGTGCCCTTCCCCTTGAACCACAGGTGCTTCCCTATTGTAGTCTCTTAAATGACTCAACTTTCACTCCTGGGTGTTTTGCATATGTGCTTTCCTCTTTCTGGAATGTTCTTCCTGCACTCTTTCTTTTTTTTTTTTGAGACAGAGCCTCAAGCTGTCCCACTGGGTAGAGTGCCATGGCATCACAGCTCACAGCAACCTCCAGCTCCTGAGCTCAAGCGAGTCTCCTGCCTCTGCCTCCCAAGTAGCTGGAACCACTCGCTCCCACCACAACACCTGGCTATTTTTTGGTTGCAGCTGTCGTTGATAGAGCCGCTGCACTCTATCTTAGTTTATCCCTATACTTATGGGTATTATCATCTTCCTTGTGCCCCTCCTGGATATTCCCATATAACTCCCTATCCTTGTACATGATTCCCTATTTTCTCATCTCTTTCTTTCCTGGACTGTAGGGTCCTTGGGGGTAGGGACCTCATCTCCACTTCCCTGTTCCATCTTGGCCATATGATTTGTTTTTATTCTTGGTTGTATCTCATCCTCTGTGTATGTTCTGTTTTTTTCTGGGCAGGGAAGGCTTCAGGCTTCAGAAGCAGCTCTGTCAAGCAGCCAAGCAGAGGTGGCATCTCTGCAGCAGGAGACTGCAGCCCAGGCAGCCTTACTAGCTGAGCGAGGAGAACGTCTCCATGGGTTAGAAATGGAACGCCGGCGACTGCACAACCAGCTGCAGGAACTTAAGGGCAACATCCGTGTATTTTGCCGGGTCCGCCCTGTCCTTCCAGGGGAGCCTACCCCACCCTCTGGCTTCCTCCTGTTTCCCTCTGGCCCTGGTGGGCCTTCTGATCTTCCAACCCGCCTTAGTCTCTCCCGGACTGATGAACGGCGTGGGACCCTAAGTGGGGCACCAGCCCCTATGACCCGCCATGACTTCTCCTTTGACCGGGTATTCCCACCAGGAAGTAGACAGGATGAAGTGTTTGAGGAGATTTCCATGCTTGTCCAGTCAGCCCTGGATGGCTACCCAGTTTGCATCTTTGCCTATGGCCAGACAGGCAGCGGCAAGACCTTCACAATGGAGGGTGGGCCTGGCGGAGACCCTCAGCTAGAGGGGCTGATCCCTCGGGCTCTGCGGCATCTCTTCTCTATGGCTCAGGAGCTGGGTGGCCAAGGTTGGACCTACAGCTTCGTGGCAAGCTACGTAGAAATATACAATGAGACTGTCAGAGACCTGCTGGCCACTGGAAACCGGAAGGGCCAAGGGGGCGAGTGTGAGATTCGCCGTGCAGGGCCAGGGAGTGAGGAGCTTACTGTCACCAATGCTCGATATGTTCCTGTCTCCTGTGAGAAAGAAGTAAGCACCTGTGGTCACTGGAACTGGGGAATAGGGAGGAATGGAACAGAAATTGAAGGACAAAGGACAAGTTGGGAGGACAAAGTACCACCATGTAGTTTTGGCTAGTGGGCTATAAGTTATATGTACCTTAACAGAACCAGGGAAGAGAGAGAGTTATACATCTGTTGAAGGAGCTCCCTCCCTGCCAGTTGCCTCTGAAGTATTTTTTTTGAGACAAGTCTCACTTTGTTACCTTGTTAGAGTGCAGGGGTGTCATAGCTCACAGCAACCTCAAACTCTTGGGCTCAGGTGATTCTCTTACCTCAGCCTCCCAAGTAGTTGGGACTATAGGTGGCCACCACAATGCCTGGCTATTTTTTGTTGAGGTTGTCATCGTTGTTTAGCCTGGGTAGAGTGCCATGGCATCATAACCGCCAACTCTTAGACTCAAGTGATCCTCTTGCATCAGTTTTTCTATTTTTAGTAGAAACGGGGTCTCGCTTTTGCTCAGGCTGGTCTCGCACTCCTGAACTCAAGCAATCCACCTGCCTTGGCCTCTCAGAGTGCTAGGATTACAGGTGTGAGCCACCAAGCCCGGCTGAGGTCTTGTTTCTTATATATACCTTGTTCAATTTACCATAGTCATGCTGACTCTTGGTGTTCCTCAACCCCGTTAGTCATAAGCCCATCTCAGTGGCTTTTGCCTGAATGCTCTTATCCTAGAGATCTTGAGGCGGGAAGGTCATTCTTACCTGTCCTGGGTAAACTTGCCCCCTATACACACATACTTCCAATTTTGTGATCTTACTCCTTAGCATTCTCAGATATACTGTGCATTTTATTTTGTCTCTTGACTGGGTAGAAAGGAAGCTCCAAGAGGCAGGGGACCTATTTTCATTACCATACCTGACATAATTGTATACTGACTTCCTTCCTGCCTTTGCCCCTGTTGCTCCCCCTCTGTAGGTGAGGGCCCTGCTCCGTCTAGCCCACCAGAACCGGGCTGTGGCCCGCACAGCCCAGAATGAACGGTCATCACGTAGCCACAGTGTGTTCCAACTACAGATCTCTGGAGAGCACTCTAGCCGAGGCCTGCAATGTGGGGCCCCACTCAGCCTAGTGGACCTGGCTGGGAGCGAGCGGCTTGACCCAGCCTTAGCCCTGGGCCCAGAGGAGCGGGAACGCCTTAGGGAAACACAGGCCATTAACAGCAGCCTGTCTACTCTGGGACTTGTCATCATGGCCCTGAGCAATAAGGTGGAAATGAAAGCTAGAGGGGAGGGAACCTGGGGGCCAGGTGGGGTTCGCTGTGCAGAATCCTGCCTAATCCTAACCACCTGTCCCCCACTCAACACTTTAGGAGTCCCACGTGCCTTACCGGAACAGCAAGCTCACCTACCTGCTGCAGAACTCTCTGGGTGGCAGCTCTAAGATGTGAGTGCAAGGGACAGATGGCAGGGGTCAGGTAGAAACTATGTTGGGTGAGGGGTAGAAAGGGGGAACAGTTGAGGGAGACCTGTTCAGGCTCTGCTGGCCACTAATTATGGGGTTGGGCATCTTCTCCTTCTATAGGCTCATGTTTGTGAACATTTCTCCACTAGAAGAAAATGTCTCCGAGACTCTCAACTCTCTACGCTTTGCCTCCAAGGTACAATTACCAGCAAGCTCAGGCCTTATCAGGAGTCATGAATGGATGGCTATGGGCTTCTCTATCCTAACTCATTCTGTTTTCCAGGCCATGGGTGGGAACATTTATCCCAAAAGGATTTATTTTTGTCAGGCATCTAGGGTACTACTCACCTGATTCCTTTTTTTTTTTTTGAGACAGAGCCTCAAGCTATCTTCCTAAGTAGGGTGCTGTGGCATCACAGCTCACAGCAACCTCCAACTCCTGGGCTCAAGCAAGTCTCCTGCCTCAGCCTCCCAAGTAGCTGGGACCACAGACGGAGCAGGACCTCCACAATGCCTGGCTATTTTTTGGTTGCAACCGTCATTGTTGTTTGGCGGACCCAGGTTGGATTTGAACCCTCCACCTTAGGTGTGTGTGGCTGGCGCCTTAGCCACTTGAGCCACAGGCACTGCGCCTGATTCCATTTTTAACTATTGTCTTTTTTTTGTTTTTTTTGAGACAGTCTCACTTTGTTACCCTCAGTAGTGCCATGGTGTCACAGTTCCCAGCAACCTCAAATTCTTGGGCTCAAGTGATTCTCTTGCCTTAGCCTCCCAAGTAGCTAGGACTTCTGGCACATGCCACCATGCTAGCTGATATTTCTATTTTTTTTTTTTTTTGCTCAGGTTGTCTCAAATAATTCTCCTGACCTCCCAGATATTTATTTTGAGGCAGAGTCTCACTCTGTGGTCCTGGGTAGAGTGCCTTGGCATCATAGCTCACAGCGACCTCTAACTCTTGGGCTCAAGTGATTCTCTTCGTTAGCTTCCCCTAGCTAGTTTTTCTATTTTTAGTAGAGAGGGGTCTTACTCTTATTCAGGCTGGTCTCCCAACTCCTGAGCTCAATCAATCCATCCCCATCTCATCCTCTCTGAATGCTAGCATTACAGGTGTGAGCCATGCAGTTATTCTTTCTTTTTTATATTTTATTCATTTTTTCTTTTTTTGGTGACAGTCTAACTATGTTGCCCTTGGTAGAGTGCAGTGGCATTACAGCTTACAGCAACCTCAAACTCTTGGGCTTAAGCAATTCTCTTGCCTCAGCCTCCCAAGTAGGCACTATAGGCACCCGCCATAACACCCAGCTATTTTTTGTTGCAGTTGTCATTTTTGTTTTAGCTGGTCCAGGCTGGGTTCAACCCCATCAATTTGGTGTACGTGGCTGGTGCCATAACCACTGTCCTGCGGGCACTGAGCCGCAGTTATTCTTTCTTTTTTTTTTTTTTTTGAGACAGAGCCTCAAGCTGTTCCCCTGGGCAGAGTGCCGTGGCATTACAGCTCACAGCAACCTCCAACTCCTGGGCTCAAGCGAGTCTCCTGCCTCAGCCTCCCAAGTAGCTGGGGCCACAGGTGCCCGCCACAACGCCCGGCTATCTTTTGGTTGCAGCTGTCATTGTTGTTTGGCGGGTCCGGGCTGGGGATTCGAACCCGCCACCTTAGGTGTACGTGGCTGGCGCCTTAGCCAGCTGAGCTATAGGCGCTGAGCCTATTCTTTCTAATGTTCAATTGTCCTATCTTTGGCCTACAGGAGCCCCTTCAAGTCAGCTTCTGTGTCCTTTAGACAGGACCCCAGTAGTCTTTTTTTCTGATTAATCTTATATGTTTTCTCCCCCAGACATCGAATGATCACTTTCCTAAGAACTCCTAATTCCTCAGTGGGTGTTATTAACAATCTTAAGTTATTGTTTTAGAGGGAGAGAGTTTTGGGGTCTCTAGACCAGGGTATTGATGGGAAAAGAAGCTTCTCTGTCTGCTCCTGAATCTCTATGTGGGGAGCTTCTATCTTTTAGGCCTTTTCACTTCCTCTAGACCTAGTGCACATAGAACTAAACACAAATGGGACCAGCCCGAACCTTTCAGAACTCTTCAGTATTCCTTTGAGGGCGGCTGTAGCACTGGGGTAAGGGAAGAGAAGATCTTGAGAAAATTATTGGTTACTCTGCAAACTTTTTTGTCCTAACCCCTTGCCACAGGTGAACCAGTGTGTTATTGGTACTGCTCAGGCCAACAGAAAGTGATGACGGATCCAGATCTTCTATGTGTGTGTGTTGGGGGTGGGCGCTGAGGGATGGTTTATTAGGTGGAGGGGCTATGTATAAATAAAGAACAGTTGTTTTTAAAATAAAAAAGAGGACACTTTTCATAACTATAAAGGTGGAAGCTGTGGATTTGTCCATTCTGCCATTTGTGTTTTGCAGTTTTTTTTTTTCCCTTCGACTCATGGCCTCTACACTCTAGTCTGGATCATCTTCTCCTAATGTTTCTTCCCCTGGTCGCTCACATGGATAGGAGGTGTTACGCACACCCTGTCCACTGCCACTAGTTAGGGTTTAGCCCTTATTACCTGCCACTCCAGCACGAGGGCTTTTTGGTGAATGGGAAGGTGAAATAGGAACCCAGGGGCGGGCCGATGTGCGCTCCCAGAAACTGCTGGCTCTTTGCTCCCGCCCTTTCCCTCCTTTCCTTTCGAACCGCCGGGGCTCTGTCCTCCTGCTGCTCATTGGCTGGCTCTCGGTGGCGTCACCGCCTTTGGTACTCGCCTTCGTCCTTGCACCCGCCCGGGAAGAGCCGGGTGGGACGTACACGGGAAGCAGGCGCGCACGCCCGCCGACTCCCTCGCGCCAACCGTCAACCGCCGCCGCCCCTCAAAGGAGGGGCTCAGCCCGCCCAGGTGCCGCGCGCAGGAGGGGCCACGCGTGCGCAGAAACGCAGCGGGGGGGGCAAACTTACCACGGAGAGGGCGGGGCCGGGGGCAACAGCGGGAGGAGGGCGGGGCGGGTGAAGGAGGAGGGTGTGGTGGGGGCAACGTGAAGGGTGAATGGAAGGCGTGGCTGTGAACTGGAGCCGGGGGGCGGGACTTGGAGTAACTGTGGGGGGTGGGGCAGCTAACGGATGTGGCATGGGGCGGGGGTCCAGTCCGGAGGCGGGCTGTCGGGAGGGGGGATTCCCTCTTGCCTCAAAGGCAAGTCTCTGGTCCGAGGAAGGGGCTGAGGGGATTCCCTGTCCCACTGGGTACGACCATTCCCGCCTACAGCCCAGGAGGGCCAGCCTCTTGTTAAGCGCCCTCCAGGCCTGTTGGAGGTGAAGGAGGTGGGGTGAGGTGGAACCCGCCCCCCCCTCCGGCTCCTCCTTTTCCCCCCGTCCTCCCCTCCCACCACCCTCCCCCCCAGCCGGTCCGTCCCTCCCCTCCCTCCCTCCCTCCCTCCCCCCCGCCGCCTCCTCCTCCCGCTGCTGCTGGTTTGGCTGCTGCGTCATACGCCCCTGAGCCGCCGGGACCGAGGGGCTGGGCCTGGGGACCCCCCGGCCTCTGCCTGCACGCCCCCCGACGCCCGGACGTGCCCTCCCCTTGCGGGGGGCTCGCCTAGGTTTCCTACGTCTGCCCCTGCCCGGCTCCCCGCGGCCCCAGCTGTCACCGGTAAGGAGGTGGTAGGAGGCTCCGGTGGTGGGGGGGGGCAGGGAGCAGGGGGTCGGCTCACAAGGCGCTGGCGGGAGAGCTTCGCCGCCCTGGCCTTGCGTCTGGACGGACTCAAGTCCTTTCCCCGACTTGCGGTCATGGGGAGTAGAGACCGTGACTGGGACACGCCCCCCTCCTGGGGCACTCAGGGAAGTTATCTAACCCGGGGGCAGGGTGCCCCGAATTTGAGGGTGACCCGACATAACCTGGCACCAGGATGGTTGTTCTTAATGAGACATGCAGGCCCGGGAGACAGCCGTTTCTACTCTGGAAAACATCTCCAGAAAATGCTCCCAAAACACGTCTCTGGGCCACAGAGCACCCCAATTATGATACCTCTGTACAGCAGGGTAAAATGAAACTGAATGGTAACCTTTGCTTCTGCAACCGTCACTTGTTCTAAAATCGCAAAGCCAGAATATAATATCCCAAGAGACCTCTGGAAGCTGGGAGACTAAAGAGGGGGTTGGTTAGGGAGAGCCAGTCATAGTTGGAAGAGCAGGAATCAAGAAGCTGGTGACTGGTGCCCAGTGGTTTCCTATCCAGGTGTCTTAGAGATTTGGAGACTGGGAGCACAGATGCTTGATTCTTGACAGAAAATGGGCAAGTGGGGCATTCGTAATGTTCTCTTACCCATGTCTTTTCTGCTTAGGCCTCCCCAGAATGCAATGGCGCAGCCCCCCCGGCTGAGCCGTTCTGGTGCCCACTCACTTTGGGACCCAACTTCCTCTGCTCCCACTTCAGGCCCCAGGCCTCGACTTTGGGAGGGTCAAGATGTCCTGGCTAGGTGGACTGATGGGCTGCTATACTTGGGCACCATCAAGAAGGTAAGGCTGGCTCGGCGCCTATAGCTCAACCGGCTAAGGCGCCAGCCACGTACACCTAAGGTGGCGGGTTCGAATCCCCAGCCCGGACCCGCCAAACAACAATGACGGCTGCAACCAAAAAATAGCCGGGCGTTGTGGCGGGCGCCTGTGGTCCCAGCTACTTGGGAGGCGGAGGCAAGAGACTCGCTTGAGCCCAGGAGTTGGAGGTTGCTGTGAGCTGTAATGCCACGGCACTCTACCCAGGGGGACAGCTTGAGGCTCTGTCTCAAAAAAAAAAAAAAAAAAAAAAAAAAAGAAGGTAAGGCTTTCCACTGCTGACCTTCCCATTCCTCTTATCTAATTCAGCTTCCCATTTCATCCTTTGTGCTCATCCATTCCAGGTGGACAGTGCTCGAGAGGTATGTCTGGTCCAGTTTGAGGATGATTCCCAATTTCTGGTTCTATGGAAGGACATTAGCCCTGGTGAGACCCTACTTACATCCCATCAAGAATCTGGCTTAGGACGTAGAAAGAGGTTTAAGAACAAGGCCTCTGACACTGTCTTCCCTCACAGCTGCCCTCCCTGGGGAGGAACTCCTCTGTTGTGTCTGTCGCTCTGAGACTGTGGTCCCTGGGAATCGGCTGGTCAGCTGTGAGAAGTGTCGCCACGGTGAGAGGACAGGACAGCAGAATGGTCCAGTTTTCCCCCCACGCTTCCCTCCAGCACTGGTCCTTTTTTTGAGACAGAGTCTCAAGCTGTCGCCCTGGATAGAGTGCTGTGACATCAAAGCTCACAGCAACCTCCAACTCTCGGGCTCAAGTAATCCTCTTGCCTCAGATTTTCTATTTTTAGTAGACATGGGGTCTTGCCTTTGCTCAGGCTGGTCTCAAACTCCTGAGCTCAAGCAATCCACCCTCCTCGGCCTCCCAGAGTGTTAGGATTACAAGCATGAGCCACCACACCCAGCCCAGCGCTGATCCTTATTTCACCTGTCCTGGTCTTAAGTCTCCAGGTCATCACTCTGGCCAATTTCCTCAAATCTGTACCTCATCCCCTTGCAGCACAGGGAGAGGCAGCCATGGTAAGAGGTGGCACAAGCTTTTAGGCAGAGGGTGGTTCATATACACCCTTTGTAACCAAATGACCTTGGGTAAGTCCCTAGAGGTTTCTCTAGGAGCCTCAGTTCCCTCACTTGTAAACTAAGAATGTGCACCCACCCCAACAGGACCAGGGTCAAGGATTAAATGGGATGGGTAAGACTGTTTCTATCTCAATACTAAGGACAAGTATGCAATACAATAAGCAGTCTACTATCAACATTATCATTATTCAGCTTATCACCAGGACTGCCATGTTCCCAGGGCCCCAGCCCCTGGAGAGGGAGAGGGCACATCCTGGGTCTGCCGACAGTGTATCTTTGCAATCGCTACCAAGGTAAATATACTTTCCTGTTACCCCTTCCTGTGGGAGACTCCATAGCCTCTCCCAAGCCCTTCCTCTCCCCACCCCTTGGAGGCCTCCTACCTGTTCTGTCTCTGCAGAGGGGCGGTGCACTGAAGAAGGGTCCCTATGCACGGGCCATGCTAGGGATGAAGCTCTCTCTGCCATATGGACTAAAGGGGCTAGACTGGGATGCTGGACATCTGAGCAACCGACAGCAGAGCTACTGTTACTGTGGTGGTCCTGGGGAGTGAGTAATGAGGGGTGGCAGGTTATAGAATGAGTGATGTGATAAAGCCCAGAAAATGAAAAACAAACATCATGTGAGGAGCACTAAGGGGGTAGGAGGTAGGTGATAAGAAGAGTTAGAGACAGTTGTGGGGAACAGGGCATCTGGAGGCCACTAGTCCTGTGTTCCCCCTCAGGTGGAACCTGAAAATGCTACAATGCCGGAGCTGCTTGCAGTGGTTCCATGAGGCCTGTACCCAGTGTCTGAGCAAGCCCCTCCTCTATGGGGACAGGTGAGACCAGGGCAGACCTCTAGGAGTCAAGGATGCCCTCTTGCTTTGTGTTGCAGTTCCCTTCCCCACTCATCTCTTGTCAACTGCTACACTGTTTCTTCACCTGTTCACCCCATCCTTGACTGTGAGTCCTCCATGACATGGCACAGTTTACATGAATAAGGTGTGTTCTTTGCCTGTGTCCAGGTTCTATGAGTTTGAATGCTGCGTGTGTCGGGGGGGGCCTGAGAAGGTCAGGAGACTACAGCTTCGCTGGTGAGTTAGATTGGGCACACTCTCAGAGTAACTCTCAACACAACCTACATGCCCCAACCTCCCACCTCAAATTCCTTTGGCTTTTGTAATGCTTCTGTGGCCTTGATAACTTGATGTTTCTCCAGGGTGGATGTGGCCCATCTTGTCCTCTACCACCTCAGTGTTTGCTGTAAGAAGAAATACTTTGATTTTGACCGAGAGATTCTCCCCTTCACGTCTGAGAACTGGGACAGTTTACTCCTGGGGGAGGTAAGGGGTTGTGGAGATTGGGGTTGGGGTGGGACAGGTATACATAGAGGAAAGGAGAAGAGGAGAAATCACAGCTCCCCTGACCCCATTCCTTACCCCTCCCAAACAGCTTTCAGACACCCCCAAGGGAGAACGTTCTTCTAAGCTCCTCTCTGCCCTCAATAGCCACAAGGATCGGTGAGTTGGAAAGAGGGGATAACAAGGGAGGCTTAGAAAAAGATGGAGATTTGGGCTTGGCACCTGTGGCTCAAGTGGCTAAGGCGCCAGCCACATACACCTAAGGTGGTCAGTTTGAATCCAGCCCAGTCCCACCAAAACAACAATGATGGCTGCAACCAAAAAGTAGATGGGCGTTGTGGCAGGCGCCTGTGGTCCCAGCTACTTGGGAGGCTGAGGCAGGAGACACACTTGAGCCCAGGAGTTGGAGGTTGCTGTGAGCTGTGATGCCACAGCACTCTACCCAGGGAGATAGCTTGAGGCTCTATCTCAAAAAAAAAAAAAGATGGAGATTTGGAAGTTAGGGAGGGTCTGTAACCCACCTGGAGGAACAACACTGAAAAGGACTGAAAAATGTCATGAGGGTAACGTTTTCTAATTGCTCTCCTCACCCCAGTTTCATTTCAGGGAGAGAGATTAAGAAAAGGAAATGTTTGTTTGGTCTTCATGCTCGGACCCCTCCCCCTGTGGAGCCCCCTATTGGAGATGGAGCCCCCACCAGGTCACTGGGCCAGGGTGGATGGGAGAAATTCTCAGGGTATTAGTCTGGGGGAGTATTTATATAGAAAATGGGGAGGTCTTTGGGGTGTCCGGGAGGGGGCTGGGGGGATAAGGAGGCCTCTTACAGCTTCCCTTCAGGGCAGGGCCCTGGGGGAGGGGTCTCACGTCCCCTGGGGAAGCGCCGGAGGCCGGAGCCAGAGCCCCTGAGGAGGCAGAAGGGGAAAGTGGAGGAGCTGGGGCCACCCTCAGCAGTGCGCAATCAGCCCGAGCCCCGGGAACAGAGGGAGCGGGCTCGTCTGCAGAGGGCACTGCAGGTACAGGGGCAGGGGAACCCCATGGGGCAAATGGTGGGATGTGGGAAGGAAGCAAGGATTATTTCTCAATCCTTTGCTCCTTGTTCTAGGCCTCAGTGTCTCCACCAGTCCCCAGCCCTAACCAGAGTTACCAGGGCAGCAGCGGCTACAACTTCCGGCCCACAGATGCCCGCTGCCTGCCCAGGTCAGTACTCCTCTACCCCCAAACCAGATCTCCCAATTACTTACATCTTGTGGACTTTCTCACCTAAAATTCTTTTCCCTCTCTCCCTTCCCTACATACTTCTTTTCCTAGAGAGACTTCCAGAACCAATATATAGTACCCATTATTCTAGGGGTATGAGGGTCCTCTTCCTCTGTGGGTAGTGTTTGAGCTTTGCACTTCCCAGGGGAAGAAGGTCCTGTTCCCTTGCTTCAGGTCCTGACTTTCCTCTCCCCAACTCCAGCAGCCCCATCCGGATGTTCGCTTCCTTCCACCCTTCTGCCAGCACTGCAGGGACCTCTGGGGATGGTGAACCCCCAGACAGGTGAGATTCTATCCCCTATTTCCAATGATGCCCAACCTAAGTTCTTGGAGTTCTTTAGTCTATAAGCATTCTTTTGTTTCTCTGATCTACATTTGGCCCCCATTTTTGGTCAGTCCTTCTCTACATCTGTCCAGACTCAAAATTACCTTTTCTTCCTAGGTCACCCCTGGAACTTCACATTGGTTTCCCCACAGACATCCCTAAAAGTGTCCCCCACTCGATGACTGCCTCATCTTCCTCAGTCCCATCCCCATCCCCAGGTCTTCCTAGACGCTCAGCACCCCCTTCTCCGTTGTGCCGTAGTTTGTCTCCTGGGACCGGAGGAGGAGTCCGAGGTGGGATTGGCTACCTGTCCCGAGGGGACCCTGTTCGGGTCCTAGCTCGGAGAGTGCGGCCTGATGGCTCTGTACAGTACCTGGTTGAGTGGGGAGGAGGAGGCATCTTCTGAACAGCCTGCCTCTGCCCACCTTCCCATTCACACACACCGGCACTTTCATACCCTGACCTCTGACCTCACCTACAGCTGAGATGTACCTGGAGAGATAGGGGGTAATTGTCCCTACTGCCCAGGCTGGAATCCAAGTGGGTGGGTAGGGAAGAGCTCTGTCTTTTCTACCCTCCTCATGACTCCTGACCTTCCCACCCTCCTTCCCATTTCCTTTGATGTTATTTTGTTACAGCTTTTTAAATATTTTTTAAAATTATTTATCCCCTGGGGGCAGAGACTGAGGAGGGGGGATAAGGGATCCCAGACTCTGTATGATTGAAATAAAATGAAATAAATCTAACAGCTCTGAGTCATTCTGAAAGATGGAGAAAATACAAGGCCCAAAAGCACTTATCTTCCTCAATCTTATTTCCATGTGATAAGGAAAAAAGGCAAAAGGCAGAAAGAACCAAAGGTAAGATTTAATGGGGGCCGAGTCATCACCTGGAAGTCAGAGGGATCATGGCAGGTACAGGGCTGTTCATGGTAGGACTGGGCTGGAGTCAGAAACTGATTCTGTGACCTGGCGCACCCAATGCAGGTATGGGTAATTCCCCTGTTCCACAGGCAAGGCAATCACCTCAGCCACTTCGTAAGGGTGCACAGAACTGCAAAATAGATTGGGGTGGTGGTGCAGGGGTTACTCAAAGATTGACCAAAGGAGCCCACCCCTTCAAACACAAGCCCTAGAATGCTCACAATACACACCCTCACCCCTATTCAACTCAGTTCTCACCGAACAAAATCTGTCAAAGCTGGGACCAAGGAACTCTGGGTTTTAACCATCTAAGAAGCAAAGATAAACATGGTTGAATCAAGGGGTGGGATTGATGTCATATGAATAAGAGTCAAATGGGTCAGGGAATTAGGGAAGTTTTGTTTGGTAAGGGAATGCTGCTCACCATCAACACCTCACTGTCTTCTTCGATCTTTCCCTTCCACTCATAACTGAAAAGGTCAGAGAGAGGTGGAAAGTCGTGCGGAGCAAAGATTTTCCCCCAGAAAAAAAATTGCCATTCAGCCCCCAGCTCCTATGACTTACATGGATGTAACCTGAGGGATGAGGTTGATGCAGGCTGCTAGGCGCTTCTCCACCACAGCCCTAAAGGTGATAGAAAGCCAAATTCAGAGTGCCCCATGACCCTGATTTTTGCACTGGCAGCCCAAAGACAGGTTTCCAAAGCTGGAGAGCAGAAAGTAGCACTCTCCTTCCGCAAACCCTATTCTCCTTCACGATCGTCCAACTTTGCTCCCCACCTGGCGATCTCCTTGGCGACCTTCTCGTTGGGGCAAGTTATGAAGGCTGCGGAGACCGAGCCCGGAACGTAGCTAGAGCCCGAAGGCGGCGAGGACTGGGACGGGGGACTTCCAGAAGCCATGGACAGCAGGGCTCGGGGTACCAACAAAAGGCGAGAAGCCACAGGCGGCAGCGCCGGCATCCAAAGAACCGACAGCAGCAGAGCGGCCTGAGAGCAAGGGACGAATTCGGTCTCTTCCCCCAGCCACACCAGGAAATTGCAGCCAGGTAATCTTTGCTTGGCTGAGCACTCAGGCTCTGCCCTCCCTCTTCTGCACCCCGAAGGAAAATGTCCCTTAAGTTGGGAGAGAAACTTGCAACATTAAGGCAAGTACTCTTTCCCACTCACACCTCAGGAAGCCAACCTCCAGAATTTGGGGTGTGGGTAGTGGTCAAGGATTAGAGGATCGGAAGGGGCGGGGCCAGTCACTCACCCCTGTGCCGAGCAGGATTGCGGGAACCCGCCCCCCACTCATGCAGCCTTTGCTGGTAGAGAAGAGCTGATCTCAAACACCACACGTTACCTAGAGAAAAAAGCCCAAGCTCGGGAACAGCAGCCTCTTCTTACCTGGGCGACAACCACGTTGTGCGAAAACAGTACACACCACGTGATTCAGTTTGCCCAGCCTCCTAATGAGGGAGGAGCGAAGGGAGAATTGGCCAATCGACAGCTGGATCTCTAGACATGCGCAGAAGTGGCACGCCCGTTTCCGTGTAAACCGGAAATGGTCTGTTGCTGGCTGAGAGCTGCAGCAGCGTTCTACGGTCACGTGAGGGGGCCGGTCCTCTCAGGCAGAGGTACCGCCCACAGTGACACTGAGTGGCCAATCGCAGGCCAGCCCCGCAGGCCACGTGAGGAAAGAGCTGGCGCTAGGAAAGAGGGGCGGGAGACCCCGCAGACTTTATGCGTCAGTCTGAGGAGTGCGGAATTGTCCTAAAAGCCCTAATATGACTAATAACAGGCTCTACACTATTTGATAGCCCTTGTGTGGTAGGAGTGTCTGAGGCTAAATCTAAGGGGGTGAGGAGAACTACCCCGTCCCTTTAGTTAGGACTGAAATATGCCTGGGCTGGGGAATGAACACTGAACACGATGATCTGAGGAGGAGCCAGTTGTCACTGGGTAGGGGGGTGTGATTAGGCAGACACTGGATGGCTAAGTGAGGAAAAATATTTTAAAAGGACATCAAGACCCTGTAAATGGGATATAAGATGAGGAAACTGAGGATGAAGGCACCCCAACTCTCTTAGCTGAAAACCCAAAGCTTAGGACTGGTGAATCAGAATAAGTGCAGGTTGAAGATAGTGGTAATGGTCTTTTTGTGCTCTCTTCCCTGCCTATTGCACTCTCCTAGACTGGTCCACCTCTCAGCCTTGGGTCTTGTTTCCTTTACCCATCCCCCCAAGGAGCCAAGACCTGCCCTACATAACCTCCCTGGGGCCCAATCTCATCCTCTGACCCAAAAATGGAGAGAGGGGCCAAAAAGAGACAAGAGCGGTGGGAGCAGACAGCAGAAAAAAAGTCTCTTGCCATTCCCCTCGCCCAATATTCCCCCACCCTCCAAGGTCTGGGGTCAATGTTCAGGTAGAGGGTATACTTAGTGTTAGGGTTCTCACATACTTATCTTTCCTAGGTTGGGGGTTATCCCGAGATTTCCTTTGGGTTCGAAGTCTGTCTCTGAGATGGATCTCTGTAGGGTCTTTCAATATTTGTGTTGGGAGCTTTCTCAGAACAGAATTTCCTTTTTTATGTTTTTTTGGTTTGGGGGGTTTCTGTGTTTCAGGGTATATGGCCACATTCTCTGAGGTCTTTTAAACTGTTCTTCATGAGTTTGGGGCCTCTGAATTATCCATTTCTGGGCCAACTGACTATATCTCTTTGTCTCCCCTTAGGTCTGGAATTTGTCTCTGAGTTATCAGTCTCTTGAGTCTGATGTCTGTAAGATCTGAGTCTAGGGTCTTTCAGATCTCTCTCTGATCTAAGGTCTAATTTTAGGTCTGGGTTTTTCTGAATCCAGGCCTTATCTTTTCTTTAAGTGTAGGTCTCAGGTGTTGGTTCCTGAAATCATCACCTCAGAGTCCGGAGTCTTAAAGATTTCTATGGCTGTGGAGAACATTTATGAGAATGGATTCTAAGATTTTGATCTTTGGCACCTCTTTCAGGGGGATCATGAATTCTTCCCGCCCCCCCCCCATTCAAAGGTCTGTTTTTCCTTAGATTTTGGGTCTGTGTCTCAGATTAACTAACAGGGGGAGGCAAGGTTATCTTTCTCTGTAGGTGGGGGATCTTTCCTTCTTAGGGTCTGGGGTCTGCATCTTTAGCAAAGATTAATCTGTCTGGCATGTTTTGGAATCAGGGGTCTCTCACTTTCTCTCCCTTTCTCTCTCTGGGTCTCCCTGAGTAGGGGTGGGGGCTGCAGAGTCTCTCCCTCCTCCTCCTCCTGCTCTCTTCGCTCTCGCTCGCTCCCCCGCCCCCCCTCTCTCTCTCGGCTGCCGCTGCTGCCGTTGGCTCTTATTCTCCTCCTCCTCCTCCTCTCTCCTCCTCTCTGCTTCTCTCTGCTCCTCTCTCCTCCTCTCTCCTCCTCCTCCTCCTCCACCTCCTCCTCCTTCTCCCCCTCTCTCTCCCCCTCTTTCTCTCTTCTCTTTCTCCCCCGTCCCCCCGCCCCCTCCCCCCCCAGGCCTGATGAGCAGGTCTCGCGCCTCCATCCATCGGGGGAGCATCCCCGCGATGTCCTATGCCCCCTTCAGAGGTACGGTGTTGGGGGGAGGGGGAGGGCCAGATGGGGGGCAACAGGGGGAGGGGCAGGGGGCGGGGGAGAGTCGGGGCCAGGGAGGGGGAGGACCGAGAAGGCAGGGGTGGGAGCAACGGGGTAGGAGGGATTGGAGGCCAGAGGGATAGGAGTAGATAAGGAATGGAAGGGCCACGAAACTGGCCTTGAAGGGGGGCTGAGAGGGTAATGATAAAAAGGAAAGACAGCGCCAGAAAGGGATGGGAAGGTAGAAGGACTGGGCTGGGGAAGAGCTGCAGAAATAATTTGGGGGTAGGAGCTTAGTGATGAAGAAAATATCAAGGAAATAGAGGGACAGAATCTTAGGAGAGGGACTAGGAGGAGGAAATGAAAACGGGTGAAAAGAAAAGCCAAGAAAATGGGGGGGGGAGTATGTGGTGGGGGCTCAGAATGGTAAGGGGTAGAAAAAGCAAGGATGGAGGGAGAGAAGGGGCCAGATGGAGAGAGAGGGAGGCTGTGGGGGGATGGGGGATGGGGGATGAAGGGTCCAGATGGAGGGAAGAGAGAGAGAGGGAATGGGTTGGGGGAGGGGAGACCAGGGCAGGGGGAGGGCCAAATTATATATGTGTTTTTCGGGAGGGGGCAGATACAAGTAAGATTGAGTGATGGGAATAGGGGCCAGGTTAGGATCCTGCCCCAACTGTGGGGCTCATTAAGGCTCTTGACCACTGAAATGTAGCCCCTGGGGTCTTAACTGCTCTCTCCTCTTCATCACTTTTACCCCCTTCCCCCACCTCCAATCCTATTTGCATTCCTCCTCCCTTCTCTGCTGTCCATCACCTATATCTTTCCCCCCATATGGTGTCCGTTCCTTATATGAGTCCCTCTTCTGTCCTTCCCCTATATCAGTCCCCTCTTTGGTACCCATTCTCTCACCCCCTCTTCTTTTTTCTGATAGTTCCTGTATATTTCTGCCAGCTCTTTACCTCCTCCTTCTTGACCCCTTTATACTGGCCCCCCTGTTAGGTCTGCCTCATCCTCTTGCCCCATTCCAGTTGAGCCCTTCTGATATATTCCCTTGTCCCTAGGTATTTACTATCATATCTCCCACTTCTTCTTTTAGATTGTTATTGTTATTTGTTCTTCAGTCCATTCCCTATCCCTCTCCCTAGCTTGTCACCACAAGTCTGTGCCTACCTGAATTCAAGTCTTTCCCTGAATACCTCAGCTCGCATCACCATTCCTCTTGTCATATGGGATGTTGGACATTTGGGGTGCAAAACACACATTTTGATGGTTAAACAGACGCTATAAGGGATCCCCAACTGAGCCCTTGTGGGATTTCTCATCCTACTAAATTTTCCCCCTTTCTCAGCCACGTTCCTTTGCCTCTTTAAAATCTGCCTTCCAGAATCATTCTTCTGTAAATCCAGTGTGTGTATGTGTTTCCAGAAGTGCTCCTAAGTTCCTTGTGCCCTCTCCTGCTCTCAGAAAAAAGTTGCCCCCTGAGGTCTAATCTGCCTCCCTTGACTGCGGCCTGAACTGGCTCCTCCCAAAATGATTATGTGTACCAACAGATTTCTCCTCTGGGTGTACGGAGTGTGTGAGTGCACTGGGCATGTTGCCTGCAATGTCTGCAGTCAGTATTGGTGATCTCTGTATCTTAAACAGTACTAGTTAGAGTCCCTGAGATGGCACCGAGATAGGGTTTCAAAGTACTGTGCTTTCTAGATAGTGGACATTCTGGGGGCTGATCTCTTATTTTGATCTGGAAGGTGGATAAATTTGAGGGACCTGTTTGCAGACAGAAAATGGCTGGATTTTTCAAAACTCTCCCACTCAGGGCATTTTGTAGAAATGAAGCTCAAAGGCCAGTTCTCCTACCTATAGTACACCCGTGGTAAATTATCCCATTAAAGTGATATAACTTGATTTTTCTTCCTCTAAATTCTCTCTCACTGATACCTAAAGCCTAATTTTATCACTATGATATCACCAATCTGTCTTCTCTTACCTCAATAGGGTCTGTCTTGTGTCCCTGTGATGGTGTGCAGGCCTTAGAGTTTAAAGGAGAGGTATTTGCAGGAAGGAGGGCATGACAAGAAGAAAAGCAAAGTTGGGGGACGGGGACCCTGGGGCATCTCTTAGCATAGGCAACACATGGTCTGCTATTCTTCTTTCCTGGACATTTTGTAACCATCTTCAGCTTTTATATTTGGAGGTCCTTCTGCATCATCAGTCCTGGATATACGAGTCTTCCCCACCTCCTTCCTCAGGCTCCTCACTGTGCCTTAGGGATGCTCCTAACTTGTGGCTTCTGTCCTATCTATGGAGACTAGGTGGGAGGTAGGGAGAAACAATGTCAGATCTTTGCTCTCTGGACATGTATGGGGGAAGAGATCAATTTGGTCTTTACTCACCCAAACAAGGGCATATTTCCCACCTTCTGCACTGGCCCCTCCACAGCCTGATACTGACAAAAATCATCTTCTTATCATCAGAACAATCAGAACTTTCCCCAAAAGATGAATAGGGTTGGATTAGGGGAGGAGAGCACAGAGAAGGGGAGGTGGGAAGGGAGGCCCTCTCATGTCTCTGACTCTGTAAACAGGTGAGCTTCCCCACTGCCTTTCTTTTCCAGATGTTCAGCTCTTGGAGTCTCATGATCCCAATGTTCCCACACATACCTCCATCCTACTTTCCCACAGCTGTAAAGTTTTTCATTTATTTTCTTGCAAATGGGTGGCCAACCTTCCAAGTCCTTGTCTTTTGCAGTTATCTGGATACCCTTCATTTTATCAGATAACTGCCACCAACCTATGTGTTTTTCTTCTGACACTTTTGCTCCATGTCTGCCTTTTTATTTTTCTGAAATGGGTGGAAAG